AAAAAAAAAAAAGAAAAAGAAAAAGAAAACAGGAAACCTTAATAAAAAAAGGAACAAACAGCATGATTCAGAACAATCAAAATTACAAAGTAAAGTGACTTTTCCTACAAAGTACTGTAGTTTGGTTTTCAACTGTTTACAGGTGTTTCGGGTCCTGTTGGCATCGACGAAAAGGGAGACCGAGTTGCCTCTTACAGATTACAGTCATTTTTGAAGGGTATGTCAAGTGTAAGGGTAGCCAACTATTTTGGCACAACTGGACAGCTTCAATTGTTGAATCAAACAATCATATGGCCTGGTGGCACAACAGAAATTCCTCTTGGAAGGCCTGCATGTGGTTTTGACAATGAATTCTGCAAGCCTGTAGCAGAAGGTATGAAACAAATCAAATGGATCTATTTCAGCTTTACAATAAGGGGTGACTATTTGTACAATTACTTACTATGCATGCAATTCGTGTTACTCATTTCACTATTTTTTCGGTACAGTACATAATCTCCCTGGCATTGAACTTTCTGGTGCCCTTCCCCTCCCCCAAGCCCATGCCACATAAAATTACGGTTCACATGATTCAAAGCTGTTTTTGTTGGGAAGAAAAATTCTTACAATGAAAAAGCTCAATTTTACAAATTCCATGTTGTCACGCATCTGTTCAGTAATAGATCACAGATGACATCAAGATGCAAAAACGTGGCACACAAGCCACTAGGCTAGTGTGTCACTGATGTTCTTGTCACATTTTGATGTCATCTGTGATCTATTATTGAACAGACATGTGGCAACATGGAATACAGGGTTCATACCCTTTTTCAGAAACAAATTTCTGAACCAGGACTCAGATTGATTTTTCAAGGACTCTTAAATTCACATTAACCCTTTCACTCCCAAGATCTCGATGTTAATTCTCCTTACTGTCTGCCATACATTTCATATTTTTTGCTTCAGTTTAACAGATTTCCAGAACTTTCCAGTCCTGGAAAATACCACAATAAAATTCTAGGACTTTCCAGGTTTTCCAGGACCCATACGAACTCTATATAAAAGACACACAAAAAAATGTTTATGCTGTCATGCATCTATACATCTGTCCTCAAATAGATCATACTTTCTTAACAATTTTGGCTTTTGAAACCCTCCTCTCCCTTGGAATTTCTGTTAACCTTCCTTGGGGTGGGTATGGATATTTTCTGGAACTGCACACTGGCCAACTGTTGGTAACTTGTCAGGAGCCTGTAAGTTATTCTGTAGATCAGCAGCCTTTGATCGACAGTCAGTTAAGCAGAGCTAATCTTCAGAATATGCCTGTTCATCACATTATAACCAAAATAAACAAACAAAAATGATGCTTTCATCATCCTAGAGGACGATCCTACATGGCCATATATCTTGGCAGGAAGCCTTGTCTTTGTGCTGATTGTTTCAATTCTGGTTGGATTTTTATTGTGGCAGAGGTGAGAATAGTAAACTTTGAGACACTATACTATTTAAAGAAGTGGTAATCTCAAGACAAAGTGATAAAAGCAATCCATAATTTA